CTCCTCAGACTGTGGCAGCTGAAGTGATACCATGGTAGCTCAGGGCTCCATTTCTCCCCGGCTTCAACTACTTTGGTTGCCAGCCCTTCTGGAAACTTCTGTCTTCTTGTAAAACAAGTACTTTGAAACTACTTTTGCAAAAAAACACACAGACAAACAAACAAACAAACAAACAAACCCTGACTCTTCATTTGGGTCTACCAAGTAACTAGAAGCAGGATGAAAGCCTGGCTTCTCTTTGTGACCTTTACTCTGAGTCACCCGAGGACCTCAGCAATAGGCTTCTTTATCTCCAGGGACTGGAGTTAAAGAAACCCTAACACCCAACCTCATTCTTCCTTAAGGCTGAAGGTCCAAAGCTAAGAACGACTGAGACATCTTACAGTGTCTTATTCCAGACCCCAGAAGGCACCTGAAAATCTCCAGCCACCACTGGCCTGCCTTGTAACCCGCTTAAATTCTATAGCCCCTCCGCTGAGACTTACTTTAGTTCTTAGGATGCCTACAGCTTCCTCTGTTAACATGTGCTGTAGCTTTTAGCATATCAGAAGCCATTTTGCCTCCAAGTGTGTCTCTAAGGTTTCACTTCTCAAACTCAGGATACTTTGTTGCCTGGACACTCTCTGAAGTCCCCCAGCTGCAGAACCAATCAAATTAAAGGTCAGTTGGAGACCCTTTGTCTAGCTAGCCAAAATGATGTAATGTGGCTTCCTACCCCTGGATACTTTTGGTTTTTTGTTACTTGGCTGTTACATTGTTTTGGTTTCTTTCCTACACCTGGTTACTGTTTTGTTACCTAGTTGTTACCTGGTTACCATTTTTTTGTTTGTTTTGTTTTTTATTAAAAAAAAAAAAAACTGCCTTAGGAACAGATCCACTTCATAGCCTGACTCCCCAGTCCAGATTCTTACCCTGGCCGGTCACTTCCCCTTTAGCATTCAATAAACTTCTGTTGAGTTCAGTCTGGTGTCTGAGTGGTCAGTGATGGGCTATTCCTGAACCCCAGATCCTGAGGATCTGTCATCAGTGAGGCCGCCTTGGTCAGAAAGGCTTCGCTGTACGTGCCTCTTGCTTGCTCCCCAGATTTCTGCTTAAACCTAATGGTTCATGTCAGAGAGTGAAGGTGAACTTGGGGGGGGTCATTGGGCCACTTTGTTCCTTTTCTCAGTGTGTGCACTGATTAAATCAATCAATCAACCAACCAATCAGTCAGTCAACCAAGCAATCAATTTCTCCTTCTCTCCCTGTCTCTCTCTCTCCCTCCATCCCTCCCTCTACCTTCCTCTCCCATTTTTCATTCCTTTCATTGGTATATTGGGGTGAGTGGCCAAGCACAGCCTGCTGAGGTTGCTGAGGCAAGAGCTGTGACTTAAAAGTCTGGTTAGCTTGTAGGGCCTGCTTTATCTGCCTTACCAAACAGAAGTCCAAAATTAAGGCGCAGGTTAAGTTTAGGGTCCCAACCCCACTATGTGATGGGTTGTGGAGCTCAGGACTGTTGTTCACATAACTTAGGAAAAAGTCTTCCTCTGAGGGCCCCACGGGTGGAGGGGGGGCCCAGCTGTCCCAGAGCCCTGTTACCTGGCAGGGAGAGGCCTAACAGAGCAGCTTCTACCAGAACACGAGGTTTCCTAACTCTTGAGTGCTGTGAGTTATGAGGGGCAGAAGCGGCCTAACATATTCATAGAAACGTGGGCTGTTTGTAGTTTCCGTTGCTCTCATTTAACAGTGCTGGCCTCGGTCCAGCCATGGCCACATGCTTGGGATACTTTAAATCTCGGTGTGTGCCAGAATTGCTCATTTCTAGAGTGCCAGGCGCCCTCTTGAGGACTCTTGGAGAACTGCATCACCCATCATCTTTGTGTGTGTGTGTGTGTGTGTGTGTGTGTGTGTGTGTGTGTGTTCCATCCTCTCTGTTCTCTCTCCTTCTGGGAGCGTTCCAACTGTTCCATTTCATTATCCTGCCTATACCCTTCCCATTGCTCAGCCCACCAACTTTCCTTCCCGGAGACAGATGCTTCATTTTGACACATCTTTCACGTTAAGTATCCAGGAAGGCTTGGTGCCTCCTGTTTGGAATTGCCTGGAAATCCCTTCCACTTAGGATATTCTGTGTCTTTTTTTTTTTTTTTTTCTAAATGCAATTTAGGTGTCTCCATTATCGTTTCGATACCCGAGTTTAAAATGACAAGTGGATCTCCAGGTAGAGCTGTGTGGGGTTGGAAGATCCCAGGCAGCCAGGGTGAGAGGCCTGGGACCCCACCACCATCCCATGTGATGATTTTAGATCATCAAGTCCACGTGCCTCCCCTTTGCTGCAGCTGACCCTGCCTCCCAGCCAAAGTCAGATGTTTAACCGCCCTGAGGCCCAGCAGTTAACGGCGCTGGCGGGACTAGACAGACAGGGGCCTGAGAGCAGAGTTCCCCTTTCCTTTCTATGGGCAGTAAAAAAAAACACCACCACCCATTTGAATGGCTGCCCTAGGCTTTTGACACTGTCCACAGATCCTCATCTAGAGCCAGACCGCCAACCCTCCTCAGGCTGGCCTGGTCACCCCGCTGGCGACAGCCCACCAGATGCCGGCTGGCTGGGGGCCTACGTGTAGTCCTATCCACCTGTTTATCCTAGCATCCGGGAGGCTGAGACAGTAGGACTGCCTGGAGCACAAGGCCGACCTAGGCTCTCTAACAATATCCTGTCTCAATAAAGGGGGTGGGGAGCCCCCACTGTAGCTAAGCTGTTAGGGTGGCGGTGCATGTCAGCATTTGGCAGGCTGAGGCCAGAGGATTCCCAGCTGAAATCCAGCTCGAGGTAAACAGCCACACTGTCTCCAAAGGCGACCGAGAAAGAAAGAGAAGAGCCTTTCGGAACCAGTAAGGATCACCATAGTCTCATCTTCTTGCCGTGTCCCCGCCTGCACCTGGCCAGCTGGCACCTGCAAAGGGCTGAGAATTGAGATGGTACAAGCCACAGAAGGCCTGGTCCCTTTAACACTGGAGTTGGGTCTATTTCAGACTCCAGCTCTTCGGCCTTGGGGAGGAGGGTGAACGCAGGCTGGTCTCACTGGTGTCCTGCTGCTCTGAGGGGAAGGGCTGGGGGAGGGCGTGCTCACTGTTCTAAAAAGGCCCTGGTGTCTGTGGGCCTCGGCGGGCTTGGGGGATGGGCGGAAGTTATTTCTGGCATGTGGAGTAAGCTCAAGCGTGTTCATGTTAATAGTCTCCATAAATAAACTAGAGATTCGAGGCAGGAGGATCACGAGTTCAAGGCCAAGGCCATATTAGCAAGACTGTCTAATTTGACAACAGAACAGAACAAAGCAAATAACTCCCGCCGCCATAATGCTACCAGGCATAACAGCTCACATGTGTGGTCCCAGTACTTGGGAGGTTGATGTAGGGAGGCTATTCTGAGTTCAAGACTAGCCTGGGCTACATAGTGAGTTCCAGGCCAGCCGTGGCAACAGGAGACTATCTCTTAAAACAGAGCAAAACATGAGCCTCTACCACCAACAAGAGCCCCTGCAGGTACAGGTTCCTCCTTGAGACGGGATAGGGAAGAGGAGAAAAAGCATGCGATCATACATCGCCACAGTCCGGGCCAGGGTCTCCAGTGACTTCCTCTTGGGATGCTTCCCAACGAAGAGCGGGGACTTGGGGGCTGTTGTTACAGTGGAGTAGGGTTGGAGGAGAGAAAATTCGAAATGGGAGCCCAAGCTGCTTCCCAGCATTATCCTTTGAGACACCAAAGAAGTGTCTAAAGATAAGCTGTGGACTGAGAACCTCTGCTTCCGTCAAATGGCTGCTCCTGGGCACTGGGAGGTGATGGGGTATTTTAAGCAGGAAGGGGGTTACATCTGAGATATCACCCGGAAGCTGGGTGTGGTGGCTCAGGTAGTGTCAGTGAACAAGAGGCTGAGACAAAAGGATTGTTAGATACCGAACGTTCAAGGCCAACCCAGACTACATACAGTTTCAGAGAGCCTGGGAAATAGTGTGAGCACTCTGTCTCAAAAAACAAACAAACAAACACACACAGATAGAGAGACAGGCAGACAGGCAGGCAGACAGACAGGCAGACAGCTCAGCAAGTAAAGTGCTTGCTTTGCCGCTGAAAGCGTCAAGGACCCAAATTTAGATTCCCAGAGCCCGTATGAAGATTCAAGCTGAAATCCCCCTGGGGACAAGATGGGAGACAGACACGGGGGGTGTCTTAGACCTCACCTCAGCTCGCCTGTACCCTTAGAGGTCAATGAGACCCTCTCTCAAACAAAAAGAGAGGTGCCAGAGGAAGAACACCTGAGGCTAACCTCTGACCTCCACATGAAAACACACACACGTGCACACCCAGGCCCATATACACACTCCCAAACACACAAACAAGATCAATGAAAACCCACAGCTGAGGCCAGAAGTCTCATATATACATACCGGTATATCTGCCGGTATGTCGCTCCTTCTGGGGTGGGGCTCAGAGCCACCCTCTGCTTCTGCCACCTCCCAGCATGCTGGACACTCTGGGCCCTGGAGGCCTCCCAGCAGGTTGTCCACCACCCACAGGGCACTCCTGGAAACGGACAGCCCATTTCCCACAGGGCTCTTCCCTCTTCCCTGTGCCCAACTTTCCTTGTTCTCACAAGGAACCAGTTGACTCTGCCAAGTCCCGGTGTCTAAATATTCCAGGAACTATGAACATTGTGTGTGTGTGTGTGTGTGTGTGTGTGTGTGTGTATGGCAGAGGACAACTTTATGGAGTCAGGGTTCTCTTTCCTCAGGTTCCAGGGGTCACTCAGGTCATCAGATTTGCGTGGCAACGTGTCTTTAACCCCAGAGCTGTCTTGCTGTCCTGATACTTCTGCCCGAAAGGCGAGCGCTCTACCCCTGAGCTACATCCCACCCCTTTGATCGCCAACCTTTTGGTATGAGTCAACACACCACAGTGGCCACGGGCCTTCCCCCAGAGCTTGAGGACCTGTGTTTTCCAATGAGCGGTCACGGGCCAAAGTCCAGGACAGTCTTTTATTGGAGCTTGGAATGTCATAGCAATTCACCTGACTCAGGCAAACTGAGAAAATGAGCAGCAAAAGTGACAGACAGTGGGGGTGTCCTGGCTACATTAGGAATCCTGCTCGCCGGCAAGCAGAACGGACACACACACACACACACACACTCCCACACAAACTTCCACTCACACCGGCTCCCTCCTGGGTGAGTCTGAGGCCTCACAGACTATTCCCCACCTCTCGGGATGTCTGCTAAGCTGAGCGTGAAGGGACCATTGGGGGACTAGGGATGAAGGTGCTGGAAGCTGCAGGGGAGGCTTGGGAGAAGGGGATGCGGGACGAGGGGTGGGTCAGGGCAGATGGGAAGATGCCGAAGGGAGGACAGATGGGGAAAAGGGGCATCTCCTCTCCTTCACTCACTCCCAACCTTGCAGCACGGCCAGCGCCCTGGGCACAGAAAGTCTGGGTAGCATCAAGGGGCCTTCTGTGTCCAAGGAAGGCACTGAAACGGGGAGCAGATCTGGGGAACCTGGCATCTCCCTCGAACACTCCCAGATGAGGAGGGTGACTGCTTGAGAAGGGTCTGACATGCCAGCTGCTGGGGTAACAAGACCGGGGAAGCACGGATTCCATTTCCGGTGCTGGAACGGGAGCGTGTTGAGACACAAGCCCCTCTGGCCAGCAGAGGGGAAAGGGCTGGAGCCTGGGCTGCCCCTTTGTCCTCAGGGGCAGTGAGAGGGAGCCTGACCTCACCCAATGTGTCCAAGGTAGGAGCGGGGGCAGGAGGGAGGACCCGGAACCTCCTGCCCTGAGGCCATGGCTACCAGAGCACAGCCCCGTCCAGGTTCCCATAGCCCGGCTCGGCACGCAGCCTCCAGTAGGTGTGGTTGCTCACCCACCACTCCTTGCCGCTGCTGTCCGTCTGTCGCCTGGAGCAGAAAAGCACCAGTGGGCGTGGGGAGAGGACGCAGCCTAGGAACGGGCGCCCCCTCCCACATCACCCCGCTGCAAACCTAAGGGGGCAATCCTGCTACAATCTGGGCTGCAGAGACGGGCAGGGCGTTAGTACCTGAAGAAGCGCGCCTGATGGGTTATGTTATTCTCCTCCATCACCCTTCTCCGGTCGCGTTGGAGCTGCTCTATCCTTCTCTTCTGGGCCTCGGCGGCCTGTATGTTCCCCTCCTCCAGGTACCTGACGACCCAGGCCTCAGTCAGTACACTGGCTGCTCTCAGGGGTCCCCAGAAGCTTAGACCCCTGCCCCTTCCCCCATTGAAAGGAGTTCCTGGGCCGGCCCAGCCAGGCACCGACCTCTGGTCAGGCCGCAGCCGCGTGTCAGTGGAAGGCAGCGTCCGTTTCAGCTCCGCCGTCAGCTCATTCAGCTCCAGGGCGAACTGAGTGAAGCCGAAGTTTCGCTCATGGTTTGGGGGCATTGAATCTGGGGGAGGCAAGGGGCTGGGGCAGGTGGACTGGGTCACAGCCGTCCTCACTCTGCCCAGCCCTCCGTGGACGCCCCACTTACTGGGTTTCCAAATGCACTGGCCACCCGGTGGGGGGCCTCGGTATAGGCCCTCGTGCCACTTCCCGAAGAGGCGGTGGAGGACGCGGCCACTCCTGCTAAGCACGGCCCCCTGCACCTCGTGGACGCTGGAACTCCAGTACTTGGCCTAGGGTGGGGAAGGCGGGGCCTGATGAGGGGCTCCGCCCACTTCCCCCGGGAGAGGCGGGGTCAGGGTGGCGCGCCTACCTTGCAGAAGGTGATTTTGCAGTGGCAGGAGCTGTCCTGGGTGTTTCGGATAAGCACTTCTCCGTAGTGCTCGATCCAGCGCTGGCCACTCAGGATGTTGTGAATACAGGACGTCACCTTGTTCCACTCGAAGTGATCCCCAAACCTGAGGGAGAAAGGGCCCATGGAGGCAGCCGTCAGCCGGTCTGTGAATAAAGCCATCTTCATGCATCAAGTCACACGGGCCTGAACCAAGGAGTACGGAGATCCCGGTACCGGCTCTGTGGGGCGGGACTCTTACTCATAAAGCAGAGCCGCCATCACAGAACTTCAGTGGACGGGTCTGGACCCCGTTATATAAAGTCCCTGAGAACAGAAAAGGGGCTGGAGAGATGGCTCAGAGGTTAAGAGCACAGTTTGTTCTTCCAGAGGTCCTGAGTTCAATTCCCAGCAGCCACAGGCTGGCTCACGACCATCTATGTGATCTGATGCCCTCTTCTGGCATGCAGGTGTACATGCAGATAGAACACTCACCTACACAAAGTAAACCTTAACACACACACACACACACACACACACACAAGGCTCACTCACCCTTAGGAAAATGACCTAATTTTTTAGCTTTAGCTGCTCATCTGGGACTTCAACAAGGGTTACTTTCTTCCTTTCTTCCCCCTTCCTTCCTTCCTTCCTTCCTTCCTTCCTTCCTTCCTTCCTTCTTTCTTTCTTTCTTTCTTTCTTTCTTTCTTTCTTTCTTTCTTTCTCTCTTTCTTTCTTTTCGTTTGAGACAGGGTTTCTCTGTGTATCCCTGGCTGTCTTGGAACTCACTCTTTAGACCAGGCTGGCCTAGAACTCACAGAGATCTGCCTGCCTCTGCCTCTCAAATTCTGGGACTAAAGGCATTGGACACCACAGCTGGCTAAGATGAGGGTTTTGAAACGTGGTTCGTGGTTTATTAGTCCCAACATCCATTTAGATCTCTGTGAGAGAGAGAGAGAGAGAGAGTGTGTGTGTGTGTGTGTGTGCGTGCGCGCGTGCGTGGCATGCCTCACACACATGCTGGTTTGACATCGCAGGTGCATTTCCTAGTGTGAGTCATGATCAAAAAGTTGTTAAAGACACTTCATCGTCATTGGATGACCTCGTTGAGCCCCACCCCCCACCCCAAGACGTCTGACCTTCTTTACACTAACGGCTGCAAACACGGGTGTAAAATGTACAAAGGCCGCCCGCCTGCTGTCGCCTGCAGCGGCTCAGGGCTAGACCAGACCCTTCTGTCCTCCGCACAGCACTGGCCCGGGGCAGGCCTGGCCCCTGGGGTTTACAGGACTCACCTGGGCAGGCTGACGTGGACTGTCCCCACAGGCACGATCTCCAGGGATTTGCCCCAGAACTTGTTTTTCCACTTCATGTCTGGGGTTCAGTTGGGGGGGGGGGAGGGAGCAGCAGAGAGAACACCCAGGTGCTCGGGAACGCCCCCCCCCCCCCCCCCCCCGCCTCCCCATGCCCTCCCCTGACCTTCATGCCCACAGAGCCCCACCCCTCCTCACCTTGCCAGAAGATGAAGTTCTCAGATTCTGCATGACATGCGGAGATCGGGGGATGATGGGAGACCTTGATAAGCAAAGAAGTCCTTAACACCGCCGGCCCCTGAGGAGCCTGGGGGGGGGTGTCTTCTCCTAACATGCCTCCTCCCCAATTCTCCGTCTCCTAATTAGTTTCACTAGAATCAGTTGATGCTAAGTCTTTAGATCCTGTTATCTCCAATCGACGTCCAAGTCCAGATACTCTCTTTTCCCTACAGGGGCCCTGTGTTTTCCTTGCTCATCTGCCCTGCTGGCTACACTGGCCAAGCCCATAGCACCCTTAACCAACCCTGCTTTGGCCAGACATTCCCTGCAACATACCAAACAGGGCCTCCAACCTATGCCCTGAAGCCCCCCCCCCCCCCCCCCAGGACCCTCTTTCCTCCCATCTGCCTCCTTCCCAGACAGCTGAATATTCCCCATTGGCTCTGCTCCACACTCTCGGAAACTTTTGGCCTTATTCTCACTTGGAATGGCTCCACATCTGCGACCTTCAACTTGGACATCCCCAAAGCCTAGCTTCTGTGTTGCCCTGTGCCCTGTTTCTGGCTGCAGTCAAGACTTCACAAGCTGCCCTAGGACTTCCATACATGTGCAGAGGCACAGAGGGTAAGAGCACTGGCTGCTCTTCCAGAGGTCCTGAGTTCAGTTCCCAGCAGCCACATGGTGGCTCACAACCATCTATAATGAGATCTGGTGCCCTCTTCTGGCCTGCAGGTGTAATGTAGATAGAACATTGTATATATAACAAGTAAATAAATCTTAAAAAAAAAAATGGGGCACATAAATAAATAGGGCATTTTTTCTTTTCTGGAAAGAGGGACTGAAAAGATTTCTGCAGCTAAAATCACTGGCTGCTCTTACAGAGGAGCTGAATTCCGTTTCCAGAGCCCACATCGATAGCTCACAACTGCCTGCGACTCTAGCTCCAAGGGATTCCACATCTTTCTGGCCTTTGTGGCTACCTACACACACATGGTATACAGACACAGACACACAGGCCATAAACAAAAATAATAACTAAATCTTGGGGCCTGGGGAGATGTCTTAGTAGTTAAGAGCACTGGCTGCGGTTTCAGAGGACCTAGTTTTGCGCATCATTATGCCCGGCTAAAAATAAATAAATCTTAAGGAAAAAAAAAATGGAGCCAGGTGTGGTGGTACATGCCTGTAATCCCAGCACTCAGGGAGGCAGAGGCAGGTGGATCTCTGTGAGTTCGAGGACAGCCTGGTCTACAAAGCAAGTGTGGGATAGCCAAGGCTACACAGAGACACCTTGTCTCAATAATAATAATAATAATAATAATAATAATAATAATAATAATAATGATGAAAAAAAGGCAGCGTAGCCACTCTGTGTAAACTGGGCTTTGTACCTGGACACACAACCCAAAGAGGGAATGTCCAGTACCATATAGCTAGCTCTACATGTAGGTCCTCTGATCACTCAGCAATCCTCTAAGATCCTAAACTGAGCTAGCCCTTTGCCCCTATAGTCAGTGGGAGAGCAGAGAGTAGGAGAAGGCAAATCCCTCCACTCTGGCCCCATTCCCGCTCCCTGCTCCACCCCTCGCCTTCCAGGCTGGCTTCTCTACCCCGTGCAGCAGCTCTTTCTCCTCTGTCCCACAGCCCTCCCACACCTGTCCCCTTCAACCCTTCCCTCTGTGTGGCCAACTCGACGAACAAAAGAATTTCCTGCTTCTCCCATCCTAAGCAGCAAGCCTCCCCTTTATTTCCCCACATAAACATTCATAGCACTTTTATTCATCATATCCCAAACAGGAAACAATTCAAATGTCAATCAGAAAGAAAATAAGCACATTGCCCTGCATTCACACAAAGGGATATTCATTGATAAAAGGAACAAACTATTGGCACGGCCAACCATACGACTAAAGCTTTATCCTGAGTGACGGCAGCCAGCAACAAGAGCCCACAGCCCATGACTGCATTTAGACAGGCACATCTGCGCTGGCATCTGTGGCCATCATTTCTGGCAGGGCGGTAGTGGCAAAAGTCCTCTCTGGAGGTCAGAATGGGAGGCTTCCACCAGATGCTGTGTAAAAATTTCACCCTCTTGGTGGCATACACCTTTAATCCCTGTTCTCTGTAGGCAGAGGCAAGTTCAAGGCCAGCCAGGGTTACATAATAAGACACTGTCCCCCTCCCCCCCCACAAAAAAAAATCAAAACACCAAAAAAATTAAGCAAAGGAACAAACTGTCTCAGCCTTTCACGTTTCCTGTAGGGACACCCCCCTTTCTCCTCTCTGCCGTATGATAACATTTCTTGAAAATAGTCCGAACGTTTTTCTGGTTTTGAACGGAAGCCATGGGGATTGAACTCAGGTCATCCGGCTTAGTGACAAGCACCCCTTACCTGCCCAACCATCACACTGGCCCTTTTTCTAGTTTTTTCTATTAGTTTTTACCTTTCACTCTTCTGGGGGAAAGGAGAGGTTGGGGGAAGGAGAGGGAGGAGTGGAGGGAAAGGAAACTGGTCGCAATGAGAATAAAAGTTAAACAAAACTCACTCTTGTCAGGGGTGTCTAGCCTTTTTTGGGGGGTGGGTTTTTTATTTGTTTGTTTGTTTGTTTTTTAGGGTCTCTCTTTATAGTCCTGACTTCCTAGAACTCACTATATGGCCTCACAGAGATGCTTCGGCCTTTGCCTCCCTCCCTAGTACGGGGATTAAAGGCACACCCAGCCTTGTCCAATCTTTTTGATGTGGCAAGATATATAATGCTGGCCCCTGCAGATGTGCTGGGCTGCATTCACGGTTGTCCTGGGATGTACCCAGCCAGTGGGGCCGCAGCTGGGCACACCTGCCCTAAGTTCATCTCTACCCTGTCCTTTCTGTCCTGCACTCACGAAGATACACTCCCTGCCCAGATCCCACGGGCCATCTCCCCTCCTGGTGACACACCCCACAGGGGGTCCTGGTTTCCCCACCCTCCAAGCTGGGAATTCGTTGATTGGTCACCTCTTTCCAGCCCCAAGTCTCAGGCCTCAAAACCGACAGGATAGCTCCCTAAGGAAGTCCCACCCACTGGACGAAAAGGCACAACTCTTTTCTTCCCTTCTGCCTTCTCTCCTGGCACCTGGACCCATGTACCGAATCTCCCCGACTAGAAAGACAGGACCACCCCAGCTTTCTCCCCGCCCCCAGCTCACCAACCTCATTTCCCAATACCGAAAGAGGCTCCCCTACGCTTATTCCAGCCTGCTGCCCACAGGAGGCTGGCAGCCCCTTGGAGCGGAGGAGCCATCCACCCCACCACGGGCGGAGGTCTCCAGCACAGGAGACCTCTTCCCATGCTCCTCTCCCGTCCTAGCGGCTTCGGTCAGCCGTGGTGTACACACAGCTCTTGGGTTCAGCGTGCCACCAGCTGAAGCAGATAAAACCCCGGAAGGCACCTCACCTTCACCTACAAAGCAGGGTTTGGCCTGCCCCGCCTCCGGCTCCACCCTATCCTATACAGCCATGAAAGAAACCAGTCCTTCAGCTCCTTAACCCAGACTTTCTCCAATCCACCCTTCAAGACCTAGCTGGCTGGGCTGACCCCCCACAGCACGGCTCGGGGCGTGGCTTTCAGCATCCCCTGAGCAGAGGAGAGCTCTCCCCTATCACCACGTGCCTGGCACAGGGCTACTGCGGCCCGTTCTCCTCCACGCGCTGGCCCCACCGGCCCCACCTTCTGCTCCCCCCCAAAGCCCAGCGCTGGAAACAGCCCTCCCACCTCGGGGCCGCACCTGCTCGCTGATAAAACGGAAACCCCGGTCAGGCCTCTCGCACTCGTAGGTCTCTCCCAGGACCGGGTTGAAGGGCTTGCACCCTGCGCGGTGGTACGTGGAGGAGTAGGCAGAGACGGCGAAGGCCGCGATATACACCTGCGGGAGGGCCGAGGGGAACGCCACGGGGGGGTGTGACGAAGGCCCAGGCAGGGGGGGGGGGGGCAGCGGCCGGGGGCAAAGGCGGGGCGGGGGGGGGGGCCGGGGGGGGGGGGGCCGCCGGCCCAGGCGGGGGGGGGGGGGACAGCAGCCTGGCGCAAAGCCAGGTCTGGGTGGGGGTCCAGCTATCAGGGATCCGCCCAGCCAGGATTCGGGAAGACGGGGTGGCCCCGGGGCGGGTACCATGCGCTCGCAGGGGTCAGTCATCCGGCTGGCCTGGTCCAGGAGGCTGCTGTACTCCAGCTCCTCACAGAGCCTCTGCAGCGTGTTGAGCGGCTCGTTGAGTTGCACAGGCATCGACACCTTGGACAGGTCTTTCCCGATGTTGTTACGGAGGATGTTCCACAGGCTCACGTCCGTCCCGGGCCCGCTGGCGGCTGGCAGGCAGCGGCGGCGAGGGGGCGCTGCCACGACCCCTGGAACACACGCCCCTGGGCCAAGGCAGACACGTCAGCCTCCCTCTGGAACACGTGATCCAGACACGCCAGGCCCACTGCACAGGGCTGCCTCCTGACCTCCTGAGGCATCCCAGCGTTGCCCGCTATGGGAGGTGACTGAGCCTCGGGCTGCTTATGAGCTCCCCGGGGATTGACATGGGTAGCAGGGCTAAGAATGAGACAGACAGGACAGTTCCACTGCCATACACAAGTGCCCAGAGGCTTGGCCCGAGTCTCAGGCTCGCCCCTGTCCCCTGATGAACAAAACAGACGCTGGGGTCCGGATCATCCGCTGTCCTGTCCACCCTTTTGGAGGGACACAGTCTGCTTGAGTTCGAACTCACTACGTGGCTGAGAATGACCTTGTTCCGATCCTCCTGCCTCCACCTCTCCAGTACTGAGATTATAGGCCTGCGTCACCACTCCCGGTGGTGGGAATTGAACCCAGGGCTTTGTGCTTAGGAGCAGCACTTTACAAACTGAGCTACAGCCCCTGTCCTCAGCCACTTTTGATAAAAGAGACGGGCCCGAAGCTACTCTGATAAAATGGCCAAGTGGAACCATGCCTCTTCCTGCCATCCCCTGTGAAGCACTCCTAAGCCTATTGGAATGAAGGCCACCCCAGGACTGTCCCTAAAATATTCTCCAGCTCAAGGTTCCAGGGTCAATTCTGGAATCAGTGCCCAATGCCAGTAGCCCACGGGACACACAGGACTGCCTCTACGTGACCTAGGCCTCGAGCAAACAGCTTCTCCACACATGCCCACTGCCCACTCATCCAGTCCGTACCTTTTTGATAGCAGTCAGCTCCCCTGAGGTCCAGCACCTCCTCGGACAGGCTGGTAGTGATCTCACTGGTACATGACTCCTCTTCCTCAGAACCCTGGACAGTGAGAGTCAACAGCTGGGTAGACTGAGTGGCAATGCCCAGGACTGGGCAAGAACGTCATCAGCTAGCTCTTCGGTGAAAAGAGGGAAGGCGGGGCAAGGAAGAATTTTAGTCCCAAGATATCATCCTGTCATGACTGGTCCCTGACTTGTAGAAAAGAGTCTTGGGAACGTGGCAAGACCTAGAGGAAGGAGAAGCTGATGGGTGCTGAGGTCCAGAATCTGGGGAGATGGGGGTCAAAGGATCATGAGAACTGAAATGGGGTCATGGGAAGATGGCTTCAGAGACCACAGCATAAAGCTGGGAGAAGAGGTTTCTGGAGTCACACGAGTTCAACAGATGTGGGTACGCTCCCAGAGACAGCCGCTGAGGTGGCGAGAAAGGACACGGGCAACCTCAGGCCCCCACCGCATCTTGGCCAAGCCCCTCCCCTCTGGCTGCCAGCCTCCTCCCCCCTCACCTCGTTCTCGGAAGAGCTTGCGGAAAGGAGCACCTCACAAGCATCGAAGAACTCGGTGTGGGAGTCCGCGAGGGACAGCACACTGCTCTGGGACAGCTGGGGGGCCAGCTCTCGGCCTTTCATGTACAGAGCTTCTTGCTGCAAGAGCCAGATGGATGTGGGCCTCAGAGGCCATGGAGTGACAGTTCCTGGAGAGGGAGCTGCCCTCTCCCCACCCCCACCCCCAGCACCACACTGGACTCCTGCCAAGCAGAAGCAGCAGGGGAGAGGAGAGAGCCTGAGGGAGAGGGAAACACCTCAAACTTGGGAGAGGTGTTGGGCACCAGCAGAGCCTGGCTCCAACCCTTTTCCTGTGCTGGCCCAGTCAGTCTGGACCCTGACCCTGTGGACAGGTACAGCTGTGTCCCCACTTTGCAGATTAGAAGACTGAGGCTCAAAATACAAAGCTGGTGTGGCCATGTGTGAACTCTAATTCAGCCTGGCTACAACTGCGGGACCATGGGCCTGTCATTTAGATTTAGTTTAATGATGCAGGTATGTACACAGCTGAATGCAGCCAAGAATAGCCATAAATGCAGCCCAATGCAAAACCCATAAATTTACTTAAAACATTAGAAGAATATAGTTTGCAATATTTTGTTATTAACTTGATTATACATTTTGTTTGTTTGTTATTTGTTTGTTTTTTTCCATTCAGGGTTTCTTTGTGTAGACCTGGCTATCCAGGAACTCACTCTGTAGACCAGGCTGGCCTCAAATTCACAGAGATCCTCCTGTCTCTGCCTCCCAAGTGCTGGGATTAAAGGTGTGGATTACGAAATTCTTGAGTCTAAATTGCTATGTCAAAGGCTAGACAGGCCCAGGAGAGGCTAAGAACCAAAGCCTCATGGGATCTGAAGTCAAAGCAAGAGTTCTCAGGAGCCTGGACATGTGGCTCAGAGGTTGACTGCTTGCCTAGCCTGGGCGAGGCCCTGGGTCCAAGCCTCAGTACTGCAAACAAAACAAGACGTGAGGCAGCAGCTGTCTGCAGGACCAGTCGAGAGAGCTAGGATGTTATATGAGAAAAAGGGAAGCCGGATCCCTTCTTATCCCTCCAACAATTTCTAGGCTAAAAATAATCAACCCTGTCTCCAGCCCCTGGCCCTCACACTTGGGAGAGAAAAACGGGGAAACACACCCATTGTCTGCCCTAAATCCTCACCTCCTCTGGGTTGAGGGAGCTGAAGGAGTCCGCTGTGGTGTCTGAAGAGATGGAGAGTGAGTGGAGACGTCTCTGACCATCTGGGGCCTCAGAGACCTGAAGCAGAAGGTGAGGAACTGGGTATGGGAAGGGGGATATCCTCCCTCCTCCCTCTCTCTCTCTTCCTCCCTCCCTCCCTCTATCCCTCCCACCCTCACCCAGGGACAGCCTCTGTCAGCCTCTGAGCCCTGGCAGAGATTTGCCAATTGGACCTGCGGTCCCCAGGCTCAGGCCCTCCCCCTGATCCGGTCCTGTCCCTGAGCTCACCGCCATCCTTGACAGTTCCGAGCCCTGATGCAGGTCTCTCAGCCGGTCCCGTTCTGTGGTGAGGGCAGCCAGGACACTGCTGAGGGAGTTGTGCACTGCCCGGGTGGGTGGGCCAGATGGTCAGTCCCCCTCTTCCTCTCCCAAGATCTTGATCCCCCCCACTCCTGGCCACCACCTCGCCTGGACTCACCCTTCTGGGCCAGGGCCCAGAAACTGCGCTGCAGGTGGGCATAGTCTGGAGGCGGCAGTCCACGGGAGCCGGAGGAGTCCCGAGACTCCAGGTAACGAGACAGGTTGGGAACGGAGCCATGGAGACGACCAACCTGTCAGTGAAGACGGAGGGTGAATGGGCAGCTTCCTCCGGGGCACTGAATCCCTGCAGCCTGGGGCTTGCACTCCGGCTCACCCGTCCAATGGTGTCATCCTTGGCAAAGCCCTGCGTGCACCACATGCGGCTGGTCCGTTTCCCCTTCTTGGGTCTCTCGGTTGTCACCGAGGCCTGGCAAGGCGAGGAATAATTTCACTCCCAGGGTTAGGGGAAGCCGTGGAGGAGAGCACGGCTCACCCAGGTGTGCTGCATGCTGGTAGTAGACCCCGGCAAAAGGAGCAGAGAAACAGCCTGGGGGGGGGGGAGACTGATGGACAGGTGATGGGGATTAACACTCCCTGCCTCCTCCCCTGACCCTTACCTGGTGTGTGGGGATCACAGGGGCGGAGGGGATTCGGTGGAGAGACTCCAGGCTCTGAAGGAGTTTGTGTAGTTCCTGGAGCTTACCCTGGCATTCGGAGAGCGCTGGGAGGGAAGGAAGGAGGACTCATTGCTCTCCTAGAGGTACCAAGGTTCCCGGTCTGGCCCCCTCAGTTTCTTTCCATCCAGAGATATCGCTGGCAGCCAGGGAGAGTCTGACACTGTTCCCCGTGTCTGTCTTGGGGACGCAAAGCACTTCCGGCCCTCTGGCATAACCGCTTCTGATTTCCTGGGAGGCCAGTAGCCCACTCTGTCTACAGAGCTCCCCTCACCTCTTCTGCCTGTGCATAGGCTGGGGGCCCTTCCTGTCTCTTCTTCTGTATACACACTGCCTTGTCTGGGTCACCATCTTGGTCTCCTACTGCAGGAACACAATTCTAGGGCCCAGCCTTTCCCTGTTGCTATTCAGGAATTCTACCGCATTGGTATCAGGCAGGAGTCCCTGTGCCTGCTACATGCTTAGGGCACAAGCTTACTATCTTCTGTAATTTGGGGCTCCTCAGGGCACCAAGAAGATTGATTATCTTGGAGGCAGACGGTGCCTCCCCCGGCAGAGGGGGCCCCTCGGAGGAAGGGGGCGGAGGTAACATTTTTTCTTCTTGTTGATACTGCCCAGATCTGAGAATGTGGGCCCTACCCACAGAGGCCCTGGGCCAGGGACTCTCACCGTGAGAACAGCGGTCTAGCCCATCACTGTCCCTCAGCCAGGACGACACTTTCTCTCGAGGTCCAACCCCAGGTAAGGCTGCGGCACTACCAGCTGTTAGCATCTGGGTACCGGGAACCTGCGGAGGTAAAGCCAGGGATGAAAAAAGATGGTACCCAGCTCTCTGAATCTCAGTTCCCCACAGCCTCCATCCTGAAATCTTCACATCATCTGCCCTCGCCCCACGGCCCATCTTACCTTCCGATGAGTCGCAGTGGGCATGTCCAGGCGCTGGGCCAAACGATGGGCTCTCAACTGGGTCACCCAGCTGTGGAACAGGTCCTGGGATTTGATCTGCAGAAATGATGGAGAGAGATCAAAAGGAAGGGGTCACTTTCTAGGAGCAGAGTGTCAGGTCTCTGATCTCCATGCAAGCAGGGAATTTCCCCAGAGCACCCCGTTTGCACAAAACCCTATTGAAGAGGGACAGAGTATGACATCCCAACCATCCGAGCTCCTCGCTCTGTATGTGTTCGGGTAACACCGTGAGCGTGGGCCTGCTCCTGGTGGTTTCACACAATGGAAACTTTCTTCTTGTCACACTCAGAGAAGAGCCTCCCCCCCAACTCCTATGCTTGTGCCCTGGCACCTGTACCAGGCTGGTACCCAGGTCACTCTTTGTTCCCAGGGATGTCACCTTCAGGTGGTAGATGTTGTCTTCCGTGTCAAGGTCAATGCGCTGGGCCTTTTTGTTGATGGACATGACTGACAGCTGGACATCAATGGAGCCATGGAGCTTCCCCTTGGTGATCTGGAGTGGAGGGTTGGTGGAGGACAGGGGAGTGGATTGAGGCTCCCAGGAGCACAGAGTCATCATCTCCTTGAGGCCACACTAGACTCAAGGGGCTTGCTCATCATACAAGTTATGCACAGAACACTACCTATTTTTAACTTCCCCCGGGGCCTAAGAAGGCAAGGGAAAAAAATACTACCACCCCTTGAAGTGTACGTGGTGGAGAAGGGAAGATACCCCCCCCCCCGGAAGAATCTAGCTTTGTGTCTTGTCCCCAACACAAGAGGAAAACAAGGCCAAGGCTGATAAAGCTCCCATCTCTTGGGCACCTAGTTTGCAATGGGCATCACCCAGATAACAACCCTATAGGTGGCTGAGTGCGCCCCTCCCCCCATGTCAGCAGGAAGGAGGGTGAGGCCCAGGGAAGCAGTTGTTTCATGGTATTTTGGGGTTCTGCAGCTACAAAGGAAGCCAAAACGCAGACATGCCTCTACTAGTAAGCGGTGCTGTCTGTACACGCAACCTGTGTACCGTCTCTGTGTCCTGTGGGCATTTTCGGGCGACTTCTAACACCTATCGCCACCCCGCAAATGCCGTGGGAATGGTGGCTCTAGCGTTTAGGGAATCGTGACAAGAATTGCAGATGTCTTTTGAAAGTGTGTGTGTGTGTGTGTGTGTGTGTGTGTGTGTGTGTGTGTGTAAATCGAGGAATCTGCAGATGTTGAGCCTAAGGATGCAGAAAGCCAACTGTAACTTGACAGAGGTTGCTGAACGGTGGAACCGAGTGAGATTCGAACCCTGCTCTGGCTTGACTCAGGACTCCCGATGCCTGCTTAGAACAGTCTGGGTCAGGCTCCCCCCCTCCACACACACACACCCCGAGCCCAGCACCTGACTCACATCTTGTCGTGTCGTGGCGTAGTGGAGGACGCCATCCTCGAGCACAAAGTACCTCTGTACCGGAGAGACAGGACCAGGCAGCCAAGAGCCAGGGGTGGGGAAGAGAGCAAACACACACATTTTTCTTCTCCTTCGCCACCCGTGAATACCAGGGCTGCCCAGCGGCCTCCCGCACGGAGCCCCTCCCTCCCTCCCTCGCCCTGCCACCCTACCTTGTGCCAGCCCTTAAGAGGCCACTTCCTCTTCTTGAGCAGGTGTCCTTCCTGTCTCTCGGGCATGATGTTCTCTGCTCCCAGCCTGCCCCGAGGCTCCTCCACCACCTCCCACAGCTCAGAGGCCTGAAGTTCAGGGTAGATGGAGGGCAGCAGTCGGTGAGCCCAACACCTCAAAGCACCCCCTCCCCACCACCAGGGACCCGAGCTAGGCCCATCCACATTGCTCTTCCACTCAGACCTGCTGGGCACTGCTGGGCTTTGACGACTGAGTACTCTCAGCCAGGGAGGGAGTGTCCCTTTCTTGGAAGTCCATGAGGAAGGAGAAGGTACTCCCCGACGAGGAGAGTAGAGCCGGGTGGAAAGGGAAGAGTGTCACCTTGTCCCGGGGGAACCCTTGAAGCAAAAGAGAGACCCGTGTGTAGCACCCTGCTGCCAGGTTTTCCAACCTCTCATCCCTCCTGCACCGAGAAACACATCCTCCACTCGCAAGCTATCCACACACGCCCAGTATGCCCTGACCACCCCAGGCCTGGGCAGCAGCACAGAACTCAACCCACACCAGGGCCACCGCCAGCTAGCATCCGGCCTGTGGCCCCACTTGGACATGTACCCCAGGAATCCAGGCAAATGCTCTGGGATTGTGAGGCTGGGGAGTGAAGAAAGAAGGGGATCCAAGGGGAGATGGAAGGACTCAGAAAGTAGGTGGGCAAGAGCTCCTTGGCTGCCTCTCCCTCCAGGGTCTCTTCGCCTTCACCTCGGCCACTCCTCTGCCACAATTGCCCTGCAGACCGCCCTTGAAACTTCTACTTAATTGGATCCTTCTACTAACTGGCTGCCGGTTCTCGTACTCCCATTTTCTGCCTGGGGAAACTGAGCCTCCTCTCACTAGACATGCCCCCTGAGGATCACCCACTTGGGCTTTCTCCTGCAGAGCGCCACCAGCCCCTTGCTGCTATGTTGATCCTCTGTGCTCCGGGGCAGCACCTCCCCCTCAGCAGGAGCAGCGCGCTGGCTGGCTGAGACATTGGGTGGGAGAAGAGGTGGCCAAGAGCATGTCCAGTTCCGCCCGGGTCCCGCAGCAGTGCCTGCCCACAGAGCGCCCTTGGCACCAGCTCTGGCCATCCCGGCTCCTCCAGGAGATCAATAATGCATGTGGCTGGATGTGTGTATTAGAAGGGGGAGGGGACCAGAGGGGTGATGTTGCCTTGTGTCTGGGGAAGCAGCTCAGAGCTTTCTGCAGCCAGCAAGCACCTGAGGAGCTGAGGCCCAGAGGGGACAGACAGGGAATTGGCAGTATAAGTGCAGCCAGGAGGTCACAGCAGAAGGGCCCAGGCTACAAGATGCTGACCCAAGGGGGGAGACTCCTGCGTTCAGCCATTCAAAGTTTCCAAACTCTTTCGGTGCTGGGTTATTTCTATGCCCTTGTCCTGGCCCCTAGGACTCTGTCCATTCGATGCTGCCCCCACCCCCCACCCCCGGCAGAGGTGGGAGGTGTCTGTCAGAAGGAAGGAGGGGTTGAGATGAGCCAGGTGAGTGTCCCCCTAGCCACCTCCATTCTCAAGTCTCCTCACCAGAGGTGCAGAGACCTAACAGCTCCAGGGGAGAGGAAGCCCTCCCAGGAATGTCAGGCGGTGCCACCAAGGTCCCCTTACCCCAGGGTCCATGGACGCCAGTGCTTCTTGGTCCGTACACTGATCTGCCTCTGAGTCACTCTGTCCGAGTCACCGGCTACCTCTTCGCAGAGCTGAGCAGTGGCAGCAGCTGCTGCAGGAACCAGGAAGGAAGGAGACGTCGGAGCCTCCCCTCCAGCCGGATCTCCCCACCTGCCCCTCCCCCGTCACCTCCTCCCGCCAAGCTCCGGGCTGCCGCTCAGCTCTGCCCCCCTGCTCCCGGGAGGACTAAGGACGAGGTGGTACCAAATGACTGGGAAATGAGGGGCAGAGTCCCGCACTGGGTATAGCTGCACACACATCAGGGGACTGGAAAACTTGCTGGCTTCGAGCCATTACAACGTAAAGGGTTTACTCCAACTAGCAAAGCCTTGACCCCAGCGAGCACTCAAGGCCATTTCCTCATTCACCCTTGCCTCTCATTTTACACCTGAAATAGATGGCACATTTTGGAGCAGCAAAGATATCAGGTTGACTGGGAAAGGACAGAGACACACACCCTCCCGCCCCACCCCCACACACTCTGGGACATGACAGTGTGCCAGGAGCACAGTCAGCAGGGCACTCAAGGCAAGACGGACAGCTGAAGCCCCACAGAGGCTCCTACCAGGTCAGCCTGTGGGTATCAGGAAGTGCAGCCTCTATGTGGGAACACTATGGGGCAGTGACTGGCCAGCCGCTATAAAGGAAAACCAACTTGGGGTCCCTCCCCTGACCCTCAAACTCTTTACCCACTGTTGGGGCACTATGTTCAGTTGCTGGAGTACTTGAGAATTGGCTCTTGACAAAGCCCTACATAAAGTTCATCCAAATGGATGCGCACAGCTAACAGGTTCGGTGCCTGAGGTAATGGTGGCCCCGCAGGAGGAAGTGGATGTGATGGCAGGCTCTTCCGGGGCCTCAAAAGTGATGTGGACCACTTGTCTGCTCCACCTTGTCAGCCTTCAAAGGCTTACACCTCAGGGATCCCTGCTGTCTGGGCTCCCTTCAGAATCTCAGCATGGATCTAAGGCCCCCGGGGGGGGGGGGGGGCTGTGGGCGGCACTAGGCAGGTCTCTGGAGAGAGAGCCACCAACTGGCACCAGGCAGAGCGGCTCTGACATCCAGAGCCTCAAGGGCCTTTTAAATGATTGAGGATCCCTGGGCATCTGCAGAGCTGGGCACTGTGGGAGGTTGGCCCTGGTCCAGGCCAGAGGACAGCTGCTGCAGATCTTCAACACCAGTGTCTGTCCAGGACTAAAGACGGTGTGGCCTGCTCCAAGCCTGAGAAGGAATGCTGAGGGGCCACTCCTCATCCAACCCCGCCCCACCCAGGATGTGCTCCAAGGACAACGGCAGGCCACAGGCTGAGCATCGTGGCCGAGCATCGTGGCATGTCCTTCCTTAGAAGTGCTGCTCCCCAGGACTCGGGGGAAGGCCTCCTGCTGCAGCCCCCAGGCCCATGTTAAACGAGAATTCTAGTTCCCCCAGATCCTTCCTGCTAGCAGGCACAGTCTTCATAAGGAAAAGCATGTAAGATGTAGTTTCTGTCAAAAGAGGTGACTAGGAAAGCCAGTTTTTAAGGAAGGAAAGTGAGGAAAATTTAGAGAGGACATGAAAATAACCCACAGAATGACTTTGTAAGATCAAGAATCCAGGGCTGGAGACTCGGCTGTAAGCACTTATTCCTCTCAGAGGACTCAGGTTCAATTTCCCACCCACATGGCGGCTTACCACCACCAGCAATTTGTTCCAGGAGACCCAATGCGCTCTTCTGACCTCCGTGGGTACCAGGCACACACACAGTACATAGGTATAAATGTACAGTTTTTCCACTTCTTCAAAAAAAAAAAAAAAACCAAGAGTCCATAAAATGTATTTTATTTTTATTATGAAGCAATTTCCCATTCCTTCCACAACCCAGCACACCCCAAAGGTGAAACACCAACATCTGAGCCCACGGGGCCCACCTGGGAGTAACTTTATGAAGAAGTTCTGCTATGGGAACTTGAGGTCTCAGAGTAACAAGTTCAAGACCTTATCCAGGACTTCAAACTTCTCTGCCCTTTCCTGAATGGGAAGGAACAAAAGAAAGGAGCTGACATCTGTGTTTGGTACAGTACTTGGCAGAAGACTCAGCAGGTGCCATTCACATGTTTTCTTAACTGGTCCATCAAGACGTGAGGAGGAACTGGAACCCAGAGGGAGGGCTGGGAAAACACAGAGCAAGGGACAGTGGGCAAGGAGCCTGCCCTGTGCCTGGAGAACCGAAGGAGTCTGTCCCTGTCCAATCCCTAACGGAAGACAGAGGGATCAGTGAAACAGAAGACAATGGACAGCCTCACTCTGAAATGGAATTTCTCTGGATCTTTAAGAAGGCTGTCCCCAAGGAGGTCACTGTGAATGAGAGCCAAGTCCACAGGCCACTCCCACACTCCAAATTCTTTTAGATCTCTGCCAGACAACAACACAGACAACAGGGACAGAGCGTATTTATGGGCAGAGCTGGTAAAACAGGCCGGCTAGGAATCTGGAGCAGGATCAGGAGGAAGTGGCTCCCCACTGGCTGCTGTGGCAGAATCTCCCTCGTGCTGCTGTTTGACATACTGATCCAGCAGGGAAGTCAGCTGGACCGGCTGGTGCTGAAGCAGGTAGCGGGTCTGGGCCATGATGTGAGTGAGCCCTCCTACCAGCTCCCTCTGCAGCAGGTCCAGGCTGGGCAGCTTGGCATAGTTGACGAACCCCTGCCTGCTGAGGATGGTGTCATCGATGCAGCCACCTGGAAGAACACGGGGTCAGCTGGGCCCTCTGCAGACGCCCTTCTGGAGAAGCATCACCCAAAACCAACAATCTGCTCTCCAGTGCCCTTCGCACCTCCCAGTGGCTCCGAAAATCAGCATCACACTTGTGCCTCAGCCCACTCCCACTGTTGGGAACCAATCTCCTCTCCTCTCTGTCCTTGAAAACAGGCATAAAGCATGCACCTAGGCTCGAACTCCCTAACGTCAGTGGCTCCTGAGCGACTTTGAAGACTTCACTTCTTGGCGTGCAGAATGCAGCCGCCATCTAAATGACAGCTGTACAGTGATGAGATGGATGGAGATGCTGCTTGCACAGCACTGCTCGGCTACACACTCACCAACCAGAAGGATGGTGCATGGCACGCAGTGTGTATTTTGCAGTATGGCACTGAGAGAAAATCCTGCAGTGTGTTTTGGGGGGCTGCTATTAAATATATGTTCCTTGGAAATTTTCTGGGGACACACGCAGGCCATCACCTCTCCAGAATGAACCCCAGCACACACTGGTCACAGCGCTGCACCTCAGCCCTATTTATTTGAGATACTTTTTTCATACTTCTATCTATGCATCCATCTATCCATCCATCCATCCATCCATCCATCCATCCATCCATCCATCCATCCATCTGGGAGGGGGTGGAGGCGTGCACATAGCACCTCCAGCGACACTGCACAGGTGTCGAGTGGCAAGTCTGTCCCTAACAAACACGCTGACTCAGGCCTCATCCACCACCCACCTACTTCACCCCAGCTCTAACTGGCAGGGTGGCCCACTCACCCAGCAGTGGCATGAAAGGAACACTCTTTAAGATGCGCACCATCTCCTTGACCTTGGGCTCTTTACTGACCAGCAGCAGATTGTGTCCAATAAAAAGGGGAAGCAGGCTTTGGTATTTGGAATCTTCTAGAAAAGGCTTGAGGACCTGAGACCACAGGAAAGAATGACTAATGGGGGCAAGAGGAGGGAAAGCCTTAGGCACAGGCTATACCAAGCTCAGAGTCCAACCCAAGGGTCCCCTCGGCCCTGGCGTGGTTTAGACACCAGACTGGGCAGCTTGTCCAGGCTGACTGGGACAGAAGCTGGAAGCACCATGCGGGAGAAGCAGATCCCAGGCCCATTCAGCAGGCATGAGAGGAAGACAGGCCTGAGCCAGGGCAAGCCTACCTGGTTGGGGAAGATTTTTATCAAGATGTTGTGCTTCTGCAGCTGGTGCCGAAGGAGAAGCTTGTCCTCTGCACTCATGGCCACGTTCTGGCAGACAGCTATCATCCGGTTGTTCCGAAAAACTGCTACTAATTCTCGACGCAGGAGCCGGACCAGGCCTGAGTCCTGCGGCAGGAAGGGATGGCTGAGGAGATATGAAGGTGGCCTGATACCCTCCCTTCTCCCACACAGGCACACAGGGTGGTCTGCGATGCCAGCACGTGTAACGGACTGGGGAACGGGTAGGGGCATGGGACCTGATTCTCGGATGTGGAACACCTCCAACCATGACCGTTCCGCGTCCACTGGAAAGCTGCAGGTTTCAGAGCACAGTCTGCAGAGCTGAGAGCCTTGCCCTTCCCCAGACACCGTGGCAGGCTCCCTGTGTCATCACACTCAACAACTACTTCATCACAGGCTGCGGTAATGCAAGCCTGAACAATTAAGTCCAGCTACTCGGGAGGCCGAGGCGGAGAGTCAAAAGTTCAAGGCCTGCCTGAGCTACAGAGTGAGTTCAAGGCTAAACTCTGAACCTTAGTGAAATGGTGGTCTCAAAATGAAAGGGAAAATGAAGACTTGGGATGGAGCTTAGTAGCAGAACACCTGTCTAGCATGTGCAACAAACCTGGTTCAGTTCCCAGCCGTGCACACACAACTGCCTCAACGGTCAGCTTTACACTGTGCTAATCGTGAATTATTTTTATCCACTTAAAATACAAGATGACTCAGTGGGCACAGACACTTGCTGTCAAGCCTGTGTGACATGAGTTCAGTCCCTAGGAGCCAGACTTGGCAGAAAGGGACTTTACCTTGCCAGCCCAGGATTCATTTTTTTTCTTTTTTTAATTTATTACGTGTATGCGTATTTCGCGTGCACACTAGGTATGCAGTGCCCTTCGGGGCCAGAAGAGGGCACTGGATACCAGGGCACTGGCATTACAGACAGTTATACTGAGTTGCCCCGTGGGTGCTTAGGATCCAACTTGGTTCCTCTGGAAGAACAAGTAACTGCTGAGACATTTCTCCAGCCCCTTACAGTGTCTCCTGGGGCTGGAGAGGTGGCTCAGCGGTTAAGAGTACTGACTGCTCTTCCAGAGGACCCAGGTTCATTTCTAGCACCCACTTGGCAGCTCACAGCTGTCTGTAAGTCCAATTCTAGAGGATCTGACACCCTCAAAAAGACAGTGTCTCCTTACAATCCTGGATTATCTGGAATTCACAGTGTAGGATAGTCTTGAACTCATAAGCAATCCTATGGCTTCGGCAAACTGGCCTTGAACTCCCTACACAGTCGAGGATGACCCAGAACGATCCTTCCTTAGGCTTCCACCTCCTAGGTGCTAACATTATAGGCTTGTGACACCACACCTAGCTTCTTCCTGTTCTTCTCGAAAGAAAAAACACCTCTACCGTCCCTTAGGGGAAACACGGAAGTTTCAGCTCCTCTAAAACAGGAAGGAGCAGGGTGTGGCAGCTCACACCTGTAATCTCAGCATCCAGGAGGCTAAGGTGAGATCACTTTAATTCAGAAGTTTGAGAAGAGCTTGGTGCTGAGAGTGCCTGTCTCAAAAAAAAAAAATCCCACCGACAGGCTTGTAAAGTTTTCATATGCTTTTTTTTTTTTTTTGAGGCAAGTAAAAAAATAAAATAAAGGCAGAGCACAATGCCAGTGCATAGTTTATTACAGAGTGTCTGGTATGGGTGAGAGGCTCAGAGAGTAAAAGTGCCTGCTGTGCTCCGACGACCTGCATTCAATACCCAGAACTCACACAGAAAAGCCGGCCATGGTCCCACCCACCTGCAGGCACAGCCCTCCTGCAGCGGGATGGAGGCGGAGGCGGAGACAGAATGGACCAAGGCTTGAGGCTTGCGGGCAGAGACAAGAGGCTTCACAAGGTGGGGAGCGAGAACTGGCTCCCGGAAGTTGCCCTCTACCCTCCACACAGGAGCACTGGCAGGTGCGCACACACGTACACTGATGAACACTCACAACTATCTGAACTCAAGGGCGCAAGGCGGGAAGGTGAACTCATGATTCGGTGTGTAACAGCGCGGCTTGGAGTCCACCAGGCAACGTACGCTGAGTCTCCTTACCTCCTCTGGGGGTTTGGGAGGGGGCGGCAGGCATCTGGGGCTGACGGCAGGTTTGGGCGCGATATACTTGGTTACGGCCATTAGCTTCAGCCGCTCAAAGTGCATGACGCGGCGGTGGCGGGTCACGGCCTTGGAGCCATGGCGCACGGCCTGGAGGGTGGGCAGCCAAGCTGGAAGGGGAGGCGACAACGCGGTAAGGTACAGGCTCTCGGGGGACCTAGCTTGTCTCCGAGGGACAAAAAGAGAAAGGTGTGGCTCCCAGAGCTAAAAAGGTCTCTGCTTTCAGTGGTGCCCCCACCAGTGGCTCGGGCCTGAGAACCCCGTTTCTCCAGGTTTTTGTTATTGTGTTCTACGGTTGGTTTCGGTCTTAGGCAGGGTCTCACACAGGCCAGGCTGCCTTCACTGTGAAGCCGATGACGGACGGCCTGAGCCACACACCACCTGAGTGCTGTTTAGGATTACAGGTGCTGGTCGTCCTGCCTGGTTTAGGCGTGGTGGGGATTAAATACAGGGCTTCCTGCATGCCGGGCAAGCACCCTACCAAGTGGACTGCTCTCTCCAAGTCCGCCTTGTGTACAGTGCTAGAACTTCAAAGTTTTTTTTTGTTTTTGTTTTTTTTTTTTTTTTTACGTGATAAAATTTTGGAGGTTTCTGTTTGTTTGTTTGTCTGTCTTGTTTTTAGAGACAGGGTTTCTGTGAAGCCTTGGCTATCTTGCTTTGTAGACCAGGCTGGCCTCAAACTCACAGTGCTCCTGCCTGAGATTACAGGCGTTGCTAAAATACAGTCTTTTGAAAGTACAAAGCAAATGGAGAACCAGGAACAGTGTGCACACTTGTAATTCAAGCACTCAGGAGGCTGAGGCAGAGCAGACATAAGTACCAGTCTGGGCTACTGAGACCACCTAAAAAAAACAACAAAACCAAAACCAAAAAAACCAACAAACAAAAAGCCCAGCTAAATAAAAAGCAAATAAGGCAAATGGAGAGTGTTGAGAAAACCCTTCTTTAAATGGCCACATAATAAATATTTTAAAACTGGGATTCATACAGTCTGTCACTCAACTCTGCTAAAAACAGCCATAAAAAAACCTAGGTATGGTTGGGGCGGGAAGGATAGCTTCGTGGTTAAGAGCCCCTTTCGCTCTTACAGAAAACCTGGGTTCACTTCCTAGCACCCGTGTGATGACTCACAACCACCTGGAACTCCAGCTTCAGAGGATCTAGAGCCCTCTTCTGACATCCGGAGGCACCAGGCAGAAATGCGGTACACAGGCATACAGGCCATCAAAGCCCATTAAATCATCATCTAGACATGGGGGAACATGTGTGGCACTCATAAGTCGGACAGGAGGACTGCCCCAAGTTCAAGGCCAGACTAGTCCACACAGTGAGCTCTACGCCAGGCAAGAGCTGCAGCATGAGACCGTGCTTTTTAAAACGAAGAACCAAGCTCAGCGTAGATGTGCACATCGTTACTCCTAGAACTTTGGAGGCAGAGGCAGAGGCAGGAGGATCTCTGTGAGTTTCAGGCTGCCTGGGGATACACACACAGTGAGACTCCATCTCAAGATGAATAAGATGTACAAAACCCAACCAAACCAACAGAAACCAGTCGGTGCAAACCAGAGGTAACGCGGGGGACTGTGTCGCAGTAAGACTTTACTCATAAAACAGTCGCCAGGGGCTGGGGCTGCAACTAAGCGGTACAGAACTCATCTATTAAGCATCAAGCCCTAGGTTCCATCCCCAGAAGGCAAGAAGGGAAAAAGAAGCAAAAGAAAGAAAGAAAGAAAGAAAGAAAGAAAGAAAGAAAGAAAGAGAGAAAGAGAGAGAACACCGCGCCCAGCTCTGCTGTAAAATGTCAATCCTTGGCCTAAGGGGCAGTTCTTGAAGTACAAACACCTCCAACAAGCCACCAACATCAGCTTCGTCTGGGAGCTTGTTAGAGATACATGCCTACCCTAGACCTACCAAATCAGAAACTCTGAGGCGGGGCCCTGCAGAGTCAAAAACCCTTCTTCTGAGAATGCCCGGCTTCATCCCATAGGTCTGGGGCCTTCTCCCCTTGGCTTGAAGCAAGAAAGGAAGAAAAACACATTATACCACCTTTACAACTCTCCCAAACCAGATAGGATGGTGATCCAGGTTCCTGGGAAGTACAGACAGGAGGATCAACAGTTCAAGGCCAACCTCAGCAATGTGAGACCCTGACTCAAAAAAGCAAAATTAAGGGCCTGAGAGATGACTCATGGTAAATGCACTCACCACCAGACCTGACAACCGGGGTGCTCCACCTCCCAGAACCCCTATGGCAGAGAAAAGTCATGCACGCTGTCCTCTGACCTTTGTCTGCCCAACGGTTCATTCTTGGTGAAAGGCCCTCTCAGAAATCAAGGAAATACTCCAAAGCTCTGAGTCAAATGACTCTTTCATCCTCAACATAAAAACCGACACTGTAGTTTCTCAGGAAAAGGATCAGCTAGAAGACTCCAGAGAATACGGAGGATGGCCATGGAGAGAGGTTTTACGGTTAATGGCCACAACACCTGTTAAGGGTGCCTTTGGCATGAGATGGAATTGGATTTTAAGCCTCGGTGTGGCTCTCTGAGCTTTGGCTTTAAGATTTAAATGTGGCAATGAATGTAAAGCAATAACCACAATCCCGGGCCTACAGGACGGTGTCAACTTCACTCATTAAATGCCTAATGCGTGCTCACTAACGCCACGCACCAAGCCACTTAACTAACTGCGCTGCCCTCCGTGAAAAGACGAGCACTAGACAGACCCCACTTGGCGGGTGTGTGGATAAACAGACTGCAAGCACGAGATCTCACCGAGGAACCTGCTCTACGGAGAGAGGGCAGTTGAGAGAAGCCGCGAGGAGGCTGTGAGTGACAAAGAACTTAAGGAATGCACAAAAACTCGGGCAAGGACTCTCCGGGGTCAGGGGCAAGGGTTAGGAAAACACCAGAGAGGGGTCCTAGGCTGTAGGAA